GAAACGAATTATGTTCTTAGAGAGCATTGTGTATGATTAACCAAAAAAATATGCACTTTGCATTGAAATCCGGGCCCTACTCATAATACTACTATTACATTATACCTAAGGTGTTATGGTTATACATATTTATATTAGAGCTTTACAATATTACGTACAAAAATCTTCATCGAATTTTTTTTCGAAAGTATCAATTTTCTTTTAGATTTATTTTATTATTTAGTTTTCAAATTATAAATTACACTTCAACAAAAATATTTCATGTATAGCAATTTTAATGATCAGATAATATTTTTCTTGTTATCAGTACGACCAGATTGTTAAAAAATTTTTCAAAATGGGGGCAATAAACAACCCATTGATTATAAAATAAATGTAAAGGGTCTTTTTTTATTTAAATAAATGTTGATTATTTTATTCTAATATATAGTGAAGGATAAATGACGAGGTTCGTACCGAATTGTCAATAGATTAGTCTATCTAAAATTTATCAATGCAATTTGGTGAAAATAAAATATGTTGTATGATTTTTGAAAAAATCATTTTAAGTTTTCATTCAATAAAATTTTAATTTTTTTTTTTTGCCATTTTAAAAAATCTTGTTAATTTAATGCACACTCATTCGTATGATATTATTACTATAAATTAAAAATACAAGTTATAGTGAATAGTTATAATATTTTATAAATTTTTAAACTTCAAACTATGGAAGTACATGTTACTACTGTATCATTCACCTAGTTTTATATAATTATAATATGTATTTAAAGTAATTATTTTTACTATAATAAGTATTTTTGTGTTTTAAATAATTAGTTCAAATAATTTATATGAAATTAATTATCTTAAGACTCGTTTTGAAAATCTGGAACATAGATTTCTATAAAAACATTTATTATTATTTATATGCTCTTTAGAGAAGACAGTTTAATGCAAACTGCATGTATAACTAAGATACATTTTTCGTACGTAATAATACACAATTGTTTTCACATTTATGTTAATTATATAATTATAACAAATCCGTTCTATTAACCTAGGTCATTGATTATAAATACATAAATATATAGTATTTATATTAATATATATTTATAAAGAATGTCCTAATTCCACCCTTAGTACTTTAGTTACTTAAATTCAATATTTTATCCAAAGAACGACAAATACTAAGTTTTACAGTAAATTTTAGACATTTTAAATAATTTCCTCAGCTGTGTTCTGTTGATTTTAAATTACTCACTCCACCATCTCAACATCTAACGGACAATATTGAAACATTTTTTCTCTACCAAATTCTGCTAAATTTCACTACCTAATTTTGTCAAAAGGAACATTATATTAAATTATTTTATTTTATTTTTTATTTTTTTTTGAAAAAAAAATGTTCTCAACAGATATAGAGTAATATACATGTAAATATTTGAGTTTAAATGTAATAATAACATCAATAATCAACCAAAGTCTGAGAGTAATAATTATTTCAATTAATATTTGAGAAAAAAGTCGATGACGAATCGTTTGACTACCATAAAACATTTAAAATTCTAAATTCGTACGCGCGTGCACATGTATGAATAGAGTGCTCAAGTGCATAAAAACTTTTTTAATCAGTGTACATTATGGGAACTCCATTAGTTATTTCCCCCCATTACCTCCATCAGTTCAATCATAAAAAGCCCGAACAGTACGGGACACGTGTGTGAGATATCCTGCATATACGTGCAGGATATATACGCGTGCACATTAGTATAAAATATACTATAAATAAACTATAAATTATTATTATTTCCAGTAATGTAAATTAATAGGTTTTAGATTATTATTTATTGTTATGGTGATCTTCAAGTAAAAAATATTAGGTATACATGTATAATATATACTCAATTTCCGGTAATATTTTTTTAAAGTTCTTTTAAATAATTTGACGTAATATAATCATAGTGTTCATATACGTTGAACCTTAACATACGTTACATTTAGGTAATCTTATTATGATAGATACCGGATATGTTATAGCTGAGTATGTATAGCTAAATTGTTTAAAGACTTTGAGTTACAAATTTGTATAATCAACGGTTCCGCCTTAATTATAATCCTGTGTGGTTGTTTACTTACGCCCATAATTACCTATTTAATGTTCCAGTATTGTACGCGCACTCTCCAGATTCCATAATAAGATTTATAGGTATAATGTATTCGTATTATAAATAATTAATTTATAATTATAAAATGTAGATGATGCATAAGTATATTGTATATTAATTGTATAGGCAACGGATATATATTTCAGAATACTTATAATGAATTTATAAGTAGAATTACCAGAATGTATATTAAAATTAAAAAAAATACTAAAACATACCAGGGGTTTGTATGAGAATATAAATAGTAAGTATTGAACCTATTTTTGTCTTATGGTTAGTAACTAATTCAACTTCTGATGATCGATAAATGAAAATACGAGATATCATAGAAAGTAGTAACCTACATAAGAATCTGTAGTTTTGAAGACATTTATTGGATTTAGGGAAATTATCGTACACAATCGAAGGAATGATGCTGATTAGTTGAAATAAGCCGAGAAAGTTGCTGGCACGCGGATTGCGTGTCAGGATCAATTTTTATTGTGACATTAATCCAACGAAAATTTGTAGAAGTCCTAAAAGCAATCCTAAATGACTCAATAAAATATATTTTTATAATTATTGTCGTGCACGGTTTATGAATATATATTTGTATTTTAAATCTTCTTATGACCTAGTGTGTAAACACAAATCACACCACCATCATAACGGCAGCTTATAAAAACCAAAAATAATTTTTATATTCAATAATTTGCATATTAGAATGATTATATAATTATTATAAATTATCGGTACTCTCGAAATTATGAAAAAAACAAAATGCGTATTTTGGTATGTATTAATTGCTAATAATTAAGACTAATAACGGGAACAGACAAGCGTTTTCTCGGCAGCCAGGCCCAAATTTAAAAATTTGGCGCCCTCGGGCCTATAATTTATGCCCCCCCCCCAAAATAAATAATAATATAACACTTATTATTTCGTCCATAATTGAGATTCTTTAATATTAAAATATAACTTATAAATGAAAATCGTTTAATATTTTTTTTTAATTAACAAATTATAATATAATAAAAGTACAATTATTTTTTTAATTCACAAATTATAACATAATAAAACATACTATTTTATTTTTTTTTTTCATTAGGTACATAATTTTTAAAATTAATTTTGATAAAATATTTTGTCGCCCCTGAGACTCAACGCCCTTAGGCATGTGCCTACCCGTACCCCCCCCCCCCCCCCCCCCCCCCCCCCCTTAAATACGGGACTGACTGCAACCGATAAAACGTAACCGATTGACAATTAAAACGCAACATATAAAATTACATATCAATAACATACAAAACGTGTTATCGCGGCCAGACTAGACCGATTCACGGAATCATTTGAAAGCGATCGAAACAAAACGCATCGTGTGGCGTTTTTCGATCGCCGATTCACCATAAGTTTATTTTAATTTTTTTTTATTTCACAGTCGAAAACTCAAAACCAACACATAGAAATATATTCCAATGTAAAGTCCAGAATTATTTAATTATATAGGATGTTCAGATGAATATATAATTAAGGGCATGAAAGATTCGTATTGGTTGAAAGTAACCGAAGCTGTATATCATTCAGCATAGGATAACCTTTAACCTAAACCTTTTAGCTGCTAAAAAATAAGAAAAAGGACAGATCTAGATTGAAATACTTATAGTAATGTTAGTTGATTTGATTTTAATAATTAGATTAGATACGTTTCGTTGAAAACAACCAAAATTTTACTATTTATAAAATATATTTCAAATCAAAAAGGATTCACGCGCTTTTTAATAAAATATTATTGAAGCTCAGTTTTCGGCGACCGATAAATGGCAAAGTATATTCGATCGCGGTTTTATTAGTCGACTAAAAAACTCTAGTGTGACAAAACATTTATACAATAATGTCACTAAATATTTCATATGGATACTAAGTGAATATCACTTTTTTTTTTGTACTTTGGCTATTATTCGATCACAAGACAATTATAGCAAAGGAAAGTTGGAACAAATGTTAAATTTTTTCGGAAGAACATGCATTTTTGCGACGGGCTAAGATGAAAACTATTTCAAAGGATTCGATTTGATTCAAACTTTTTGGTGAGTTTGTACTGTAGACGTTTATACTATAGAATTTGCCATTCAATATTGAAACACATTTAAATGCACCATGCACTATGTACTTAAGCTGTTTGAATATTATTATATGTTAAATATTTATTTTAGTATTCGTTTTTCTATATTTATTTAATGTTGGAGATAAAGACGGTTGAGTAAGTTGACCGTACTACATGTGCGTGCTTCACCAAATAGACATTCAGTCAGTATAATACATAGTGTTTTACATATTTGAATTTAATTGGGAATATTTATTCATTACCAACACCCGACAAGTAACGTTGACTGTTAATGTAAGATCGTAAAATCATCGAAAATATCTATTACGAAGCGAAAAAAAAATAAAAATTAATATTAAGATTCGTCAACGGTATAATAACAATGGTATATTTTTCAATAGACGTTGGACAACCGGCGCGTGACACTTTTCCTCGTCTCGATAACAGTATTTTTTAAACGTTATTTTACGACGACCGCTGAACGCTATACGTCCAAATCGCTGTAGTTGTATTAATAATTATAGTAATAGTCATATCGTAGTAGTAGTAGTAGTAATAGTAGTAGTAGTAGTAGTAGTAGTAATAGTAGTAGTAATAGTAGTAGTAGTAGTAGTAGTAGTAGTAGTAGTAGTAGTAGTAGTA